AAAAAAAAAGAAACGTGTCCCGACGTTTGATTGAATAGGCCTTAGTTTCGGAATAATAAATTTATGAAAATTGGCCATATCTGAAGCGCGCCGTGGCGCGCCATTTGAGCCTTCCCGGTAGTAGTGCTTTCAAACAGTGCGATTGACTCCGTGAGTCAAGCGCTTGCTTCATAATTCGTAAAATCTAAGTTCGCTCAAGGAAGTGGACGATAATGTTCTTGTTAATAGGTGCTCTCCTGTCATCTTTAGGGAACATTGATGTCTTGATCCCTTGTGTTAATCTTGCACGACAAATAGCACTAAGCACACCGTTCCATGGTGAGAGTCCGATTTCGCGTTCGCGTCTTTCTGTACTACTGCACCATAACAGCTCACACTGATTCACAGATTCACTACTCCATCGAAAGGGGCCTACAAATGGCGGCGTCCAATCAGTCAGAGACGACCGCCCCCTCATGTCCCGACTCTCATTATAGGGACTCTAATCGTAGGATATCGTATGCGACATCTAGGGTCCTCCTTTCAAGAATAGTTTAAAAGTGGACCTTATTTAGGCCCGGTTGCATCAACGTTACTTGAATTTTAAGCGAGGCTTAAAACTCTTTTTATCCCTGTCTTTTTTCGGTTTTAAAATCAAAGTAACGTTGGTTCAACCGAGCCTTAGCGATGGGCCTTAATTCGGCTCAGGAACCTTAATGCCATTTAAAAAAGGTTATTATCATATCTTTTATCGTCTCTGTCTGGAAAAAAATAACGTGACCAATATATGTCCTCGAATTGTTGCACTCTAGAACACTCTTTTTCAAATTTTTCAAAATTTTTGGTATATTACAATGTGAAAGTTAAAATGATGCACACTGTTCACCTACATACATACATACATATAATACATGCGCGCGCACGTGTGTAATATTTTTAAAAAAATTACATTATAATCCATATACATTGCTTGCAATCCTCAGTTTCTGTTATCCGTTGACACACTGAATTGGATCTGTTTTGTCTTCTATAGTCTGCATTATTTTCGAAAAATTTGGAATAGAACACGTGTAAACGATCATTGACTTGATGAAATCTAAAGCTTATGTATCTGAATTGTATGAAAGAGATTTAGTTATGTTTGTCATTAAAATTGTGATATATACATAATATACGTATATATTATCATTACGTTAATAAATAATCAAAGTTAGACTAGATATTAGGAATTCGTTATTGGTTTTTTTATGTTTTATTACATTTTATATTAAATATTTATATGTATAATAGAATGAAATTTTATCATTTT